CCCAAAACCCCAAAACCCCAAAACCCCTTTGTACTATTATCAACATTGACTTTGCATTTAAAAAAATCAAATTAAAATTGGATAAGAGGGCTCAGTTAAAATTCCACAGATACCAGGTCCTTTTATAGAGTCTTTAAGAATTCTGAAATATCCATCTTCTCCCCATCTAGGCCCCCAAGAGTTTTTAACTATCCAATAGTCAACTCCTTATAAATAATCATGACCATAGCCCACTAATAGAACAGCATGATCAACTTCATTTCCACAAGTAATATCTTAAATTACTCCAGTGTTGTAAAATTGAAAATATAGACTGTCAGATTCAACAGCAACTGATATTGGTTGTTTCATGAGAGCTTAAGCTAAAGCATCTGGATCATTTGGTTATACATCGGTATATCCCAAAATACTTACTTGCCCAAGAATGTTGTCATACAGGCATTTTTAGGCATAGCCTAAATATGGATAATCAGACCATGTCTCTAGTTTTTAACTGCCCTCAAGATATTAGTAGGCTAAACTCATTAATCCTCCATTACACCCAGCGTTTTATTTCGAGCAATCAAGAAGTTATTATACAGAAAATTCTTATAGACTATTGTTTCGAATAAAATTTGCTCCTTCTACTGCTCCTACAGCTGAAAATGCCCAACAAGATCCACAGTTTCCTTAATCTTTGACAGTAGTGACAGCACCCTTATCAACCCAATTAATAACATCAAATATTGAATTATTGCTTTAATTTCTGTCTCTCGTTATATCAAATTTGCTTTCAAAATTTATGTGACTATTTGGCTTGTTTTAATTTCTTTATTCCTTAGATGAATTGGTATTATTTACCTTTTTAAAACCAAGAATTCTACTATATTCCTAATTTGTCCAATCAGTGTATTAATTCACAGCGAGGTCAAAACCTTTTTCAGCACTTTAAAAAAGATTAAAGCTTAGAATCTTCTCTACATTTTAGAGAAATACATCAAATCTAAACTCATACTCTTCTTTAGTTTCGTAGGATCTCCCATGTTAAGCAATAAAATTCAAGAATTCTAATTCTTATTTCCTCTCTCCAGTTAACAATAATAGTTGTTGTCCTTAATCTTTTTAATTCCATGATAATGAAAACATTAGAATTACTGCTACTCCCGAAATCATCATAATAGAAGCAAGCAAAATTTTCATCTGTACATGCATTATTAAGTAAAATTATAATATCTATAATCTTATAAAATATCCGATAATATTTCACAATTACTTCAGAGCTATTTATTAATCATTTATTAATGACTGTTACTCATCTGTCTATGGGGTTTTGGGGTTTTGGGG